ATGCCTCTTAAATTCAGCACTTACTGACCGATTCTGCTTTCAAGTTAAAGCGTGAAAAACTATTCGGTTTCCTTGTTGTAGTTTGACATGCTCCTGGTCAGCTGTCAGATGAAATGTTGTACTTAATGTAACCAAATATAATAGAACTATTAACTATTACTTTATGTGAGTAGTAATGCTTCGATTGATAGCATTTTGAATTCATCGCAGTGGTTGGGGGCAACTTTGAAGATTTGACAGTAAAACACATGCAACACTTGCTGTTTGCCACTCCTATTTCATTAATTGCACACACAAATTTACTCGAATTTTAAGTACAGATGCAGACAGGTATTTTAGTAAATTTAGATGTGGAAATACGAATATAATTGAATACAGATACATGAGAAACAAAGCGCAGATGCAACCAAGAGATATAACATATTGAAACACAGTTACAACTAAAACTATATATATATATATATATAGAAGTAGTTTTGGGTATTTACTGATACAAATTGCTTGTGCATTAAAGCTTTGCATTTCTGTAATTTTGGTACACATGAGTCCAAAATTTGGCATCACGATTTCCTGTTGCAACTTGATTTATGTATGTGCAACTCTGAGTTGGCTTTCACTTGCAGCACAAACAGCTTCAGATGCATGTGTGCGTAGTCCCCCCATAAAACCCCAAACTGAACTCGGTATATAAACTATACAGTGCTACAGTCAGTTCAGCACTGTACGACAACAGTCGATTCAACGAGTCGGCTTAACTATCCATTCATTGTTGTTGTTGCTTCTGGTTGTGGTTGTAGTTGCAGTACTTAAACTGTGACACTGGCATTGATTAACTGATTAAACCTCGCTAGCATATTCATTGAGCTGCGGCAACTACTTAAAGACAGGCAGTGCACTGTTTGTGATATAAATTGTCGTTCATATCTCTGCTGCAAGCTCAACGATTCAAAAACGAGTACTATATTGAAATAAATTAATAATTAAATTCATTCAAGTAAATTATTTTGTGTTCGATAAATTAAGATACAACAGAAATATGAATAATAATCATAAACATGTGAATAATTTTGTACCTTCTATTTTTATGAATAGAGTTATTCGAATGCTTTAAGTCTTCAAATAATTCACTGCGTTCAATGAGTGTGCGAATATCAGATATCCTATTGACAAAGTTGAAGTAAGATCAGCTAAACTATGCTTTCAAGCAGAAATACTCAGCAATGATTGCAAAAAGACAAGTAAATGTTTCTTAGATTGCTTGCATGTATCTATTATTATTATTATTATTATTATTATTATTATTATTGGGTGAAGGGTGTTCCTAATTACAGATCTATATGCTCAGTTTAATGATTTCGGTGCACGCAAATCAAAAAGAAATGCAAAAAGTGTAAGTGAAAAGGGCAAAAGCGAAAATCATAAAACAAAATGAAATAAAGCGTTATTAAACAATGCTGAAAACAAGAACAATAAATGAGTCCTAAAAATGCTGACGACCTTCTCCGAGCAGTCCGCTGGGAGAGCAGAAATTTTCATAAATTATTTGAAAAATGTTTGAAATGATTTACGCTCATTAATCTTGTCTGTGAGTGTGTGTGTGTATGGGTGTGTGTGTGTGTGCTTGTGTGTGTGTGTGTGTATTCTGCGGCTCGTCTGCGTCTGTTTTGGGCCAACGCATTTCTGACAGCTTTAGTTTTTGGCAATTCAATTAGGCCAAGTTGAAAGCATGTTGAAAAATTGTTTTGTTGCATTAACCCATTGTTGGCCCCCAAAAAGCCCCGCCCGCAAGGCCAACAGCAACAGTCGCCGTCTGATGTGTGTCGGCGGCAAACAAGAACAACAACAACAACAACAACAAGTCGCTCCTCAGTTAACACCCTTCAAACATAAAACGTATTCTGAATGTATCTTGCCTCGTGACACGCCGAGGGGTAGTACCTTTAGGCATCATTACTTGTAACAATCGGAGGAAAATTCTTCGATTGGAAAACTGGGAAAATGCAATCTGCTTTGGCTTGGAGCAGTTTGACTAACAATTGCTACATTAATATGTGAGCTATTTGAATTTGCTTGCAGTGCCAGTTGAGAGAAGGGTATTTAAATGTTGCTTAACCTTTCTGGACTTTATTGTCTGTTCGATTCGCTTTGTTTTGTTTATGTTGGCCGCCTCGTTCGCCGTCTAACGAGCCGCACAAATGCCGAGCAATTAATCATTTGTGGCGGCGACTCTCTTTTGGTTCTGTTGTTTTTTTTTGCTTTGTTCATTTTGTTTAGTTTTGCTACATTTTTTTCAGTTTGTTTGCTGTCGTTCTTTGTTTCTTGGCGTCTCATTTCACAACTCATTTCCGGTTTGGCGGCGGAAACGCATCTTCGACATTAGGCCATGGCGGCGTCCGGGGTCCGTCTCCGGGGTCCTAAACTGGAGCCTCGCCCTGGCTATGGCCGGGTCCTGGCATTGTCGTGATTTATGGCATTCAAATTGATGCAAAGGCCGCAAACGCCATGCACAGAAAAAAAGGTGACAACTTTGTTAGCGGTCAATGGCCAATTTCCAACACATATGTGTCTGTGTGTGTGTGTGTGTGTGTGTGTGTGTCTGTGTGTGTGTGTGTGTGTGTGTGTGTCGGGATGAGTCGCACAAAAACTAATTCAATTTGCATATTTGACTTTCGGGTGTCTAAAGTCAATCAAAACAAGCGATTTTCAATCGCAACGGTCATCAGCTGCCGCCCAGCCCAGCAATGTGTGTGCCCCTCGCTCGTTCCACGAAATGAACAGCAGTTTATCCGGTTAAAAAACAAAAAATAAAAAACAAAAATGGTTTCCCATTCAGACTAAAGAATTCTTGCCAAATTTTGGTATATTCCAGAATCAAATTGAACGAACAGGGCCAGAACCGGCTTTTGTGGCTTAGGCTACTCATCGATCTACTGACAGGACATTGTAGACTAACCAGTTTAGGTATTTATAGTAGTAGAAGATGGAGCAGCTAACAATAGATCTAGTAGGTTGGCAGTGCAGGCATCCCAATTGTAATATGTGTTGAGAATCAAATTGAGAAGCTAAATCAGTCGAGTAGTGGCAAGGCAGGTCTTTAATGGGATGCCAAAGCCACAAAGGCGCTTCACAAATTCCACGAAAACACAGCAGGTATTTGCTGGCCTTCTGACATTCTCATTTGCCAGCTGCGCCCCAAAGCATGCAACATGTTTACATGAATGCGGGAATGCTGAGGCAAACAAACAACCTAATTAGATTCATGGGTGTGTGTGAATGACGGTGTGTGCTTGTGTGTGTGTGTGTGTGTGTGTGTCTCAGTTTGGCAAATGCCACACGTCCACTCAAGTGACTATCAACCCAAGTGCAACCGCATAACGTTTTTTGTCAGTTAATCAATGCAAAAAACACAAGCTAAAAACAAACTATTCAAAGCCGAAAATGACTTGCGAAAATCTCTTTGGCTTATTTCTGACAAACTTTAAGATTAATCTGCATGACACTGATAAAAGTGACATATACTCGATAAGCCATCGACTTTTTCAAAAATAAGCTGGATGTTTTTCTGGTTACTTATTGGTACCTAGACTTTTCCGATATTCTCTACTAAAAGAACATTCCTAATAGGCATTTAGTGTATATATATGTCCTTGATGAGGACCAGCCTTGTCAGAACTCAGAGTTCAAGTTCTAAAATAAAAATATCTTTATGATAAAAAGATATTCCCTGCAGATGGTTTGACTACTGCATGCTGTGAAAACTGAGTTCGCATATATAACAATTAGGCGGACAGATAGATATAAGCTATATAATGTTGGTTGGCATTCTGGTTACGAATATATGCATATATATATATATGTATATGTGTATATATGTGTCTGTGTAGATCAAAAGCTCATAAATGAGTGTCTGAATGTGTTGCACGTGTCGTAATAAAATTATAATACTCTCTCCAGTCAAGGGTGTGTTGGAGACAGTAACGATTTCAAGCAGCTGCTCCGAGTGTGTGTGTGTGTGGGTGGGTGTGGCAGGTGCCAGGTGCCAGGTGGCAAGCAATGGCAAACAGCTCAAGCAACAACAACAACAACAACAACGAGAACAACTCCTTGTAGAAATCTGCAAGCCAATGCATTCAAGCGCGCATGCTACAAAAAAGAATAGATTTTTATTTTCTACTTTGTGGCAGTTGGGTTTATTTTTCGCTTCTTTTACTTTTTTATATATGTATAAGACTCTTCTTTTTTTTTAGGGGTTTGTGGAGATTTTGAGCAGGGCATAAGTGTATTAGGGTAAATAGGAAAAATGCAGTCGAATTTGGGTTGAACACTGCACGCAAACAAACAAACAAACAAACAAACAACCCACTGAAGGCCGAGTGGACCGTGACTGGCTGTCGACTGTCCAGCGTCCAATGTCCATTCTCTGATGTCCGATTGGAGGCGACGTGAAACGTGTACAGCTGATTTATGAAAGCGCCAACGCGCATCGAGTGTGGAGAAGGTGCACAAAGAAACCCTCAAATAGAGCTGATGATTTGAATGCATTCGATGTGTTGCATGTATTGAATTGAATTTGCTATCGAAATGTTTAGAATAAAAAAAGGATTCCGCACAAAGCTATCTGTGTTGTGCACTTGAGTGGTGGTGTTGTCGAGAGTTGTATCAAAAATGCAACTAGGCCAAAGACTACACTACATTTTTATGCCAATGCTGTTTTAAACTTGTCTTCAAATATTACCAAATAAAGTATTTGTTTATGTAGACTGAACAGAAGTTGGAAACTGGTGTGGTTTTTTGAAGTGCCTGCCCTAATTTGATGGACATATTGTTGCCTCAGCTATTATTGAAAATGTATTGCGAATTAATATGTTGACTGAATTATGTGCTAAATATTTGCTCTGGCATTGATGTGGTCACAGCCCGGTAAATTCTTTTATCCTGTTTTGACTTTACTTCATACTGCTGTCCAATTCCATCATACTAAATCCGATTAGACTGACAGCATGCAGAAGTCGGAGATCTTTAACCAGCAAAAGAAAAAAAAAAAACAAACTAAAGCGATAAGATTGCATTGGGTTGGACATGGACTAGGTTTGGGTTTGGGCTACGACTTTGACTTGGAGCTGGAGCTGGAGCTGGTTAAGCAGATGCACAGCACAAAGTACAAATCACAGATTACAATTTCACTTGGATACCGTATCGAGGAAGTCATAGAGACAGAGAGAGAGGGAGAGAGACAGAGAGGGGCAGGTAAATGCTTTCAGTGTAGGTACATAACTCACGTGAATACAGGAATTGGCCAATGGCCAGTGTCCAAGCCGAGCTACACTGAGCACAAATTGAGTCAGAGTCAGGTCCTTAAATTATAAGCAATTTATTTATTTATTTCAGTCAATTGACACAAAAAATAGAAAAAGTAATAAATTGAATTAAATTTAAAATAAAAAAACAAATATTTATAAGATTGGTCAACATGTGCTGCATGAATTGGGGAGAACCCAATTAGACCAACAAAAAATGATTAGTATGCACAACAAGAGAATGCGACAGGACATTTCAAATTGAGTTCTTAGCTATAGAAATGAAGGACTCTGAATTAATTACAGGAAAGAGTCTATTGTAATGATTACAGAGTACTCGACACGGGTCATGCAAGGAATAATTAATAGTTCAACGATTAAGAAAAAGTAGCAAAACTCGAGTCTGAAATATGATTTTTGTTTCTTGCTTTTGCCAATCAGTGGAGTTAGCTTGAATTCGTTGAGCCTGACACTTTAAGGCTGATAAGTCCAATTTCCTCAACGAACTCATGATACTTTTATATACAACAAATTTATTATATTTAGTGATTTAATTTAAATTAAAGTATTGTTCAAGAAATCAGTGTAAACGTATCCACAAAAATAATAAAACTTTCGAGTTATGATCAAAAAAAATGAGAAAAGTATCGGTTCTTAAACAAGTTTCAATGTTGTAGTGAAAAATGTATTAAGAAACATTAAAAAACGCATCGAACACAGCTGCTCACATTTTCTTCAAAATTGTTTGTTTTTTGTTTATAAAATTCGGAATTTATTTATTCGCACTGTGCTTTGTTTACTTCGGCTCCTTTTTTCTCGAGTGTATGCAAGTCAAACAGAGTTTATGTGTTAGATTTGGCAATGCAGTTGTATGCGTGCCTATATATAAATATATATATATAATGTATATATATATATATATATAATTGTGTGTGTGTGTTTGGCGTTCACATGAATGCCAAGTGCTGCTGTTGCCAATACCGCAAACGCCATCTTTTGTGGCCGGTGTATAAAGTGTGTGCACTGATAAGCAACCAACAACAGACAAAATATGTGAATCTGTGTGTGTGTGTGCTGCATGTGTGTGCGTTGGATGGGAATTGGGCGGGGCACACTCCGATAACGAAAGGAGAAAGAGAATTTTGTTTTTGTTTTTTTTTGGTCGGTCGGTGCTCGCCAGGCGATGCTCCGACATAAATAGAATGCTAAACAGCACACGCCTGCGAGCGTGACACTGAATCAGAGCGCGATTGGAATGGGCAATGGTAGCAACAGCAGCAGCAGCAGCAGAAGCAACAGCAACAGCAGCAGCAGGCGCAGCAGCAGCAACAGCAACAGCAGCAGCAACAGCAGCAACAGCTGCAGCAGGCGCAGCAGCAGCAGCAGCAGCAGCAGGCGCAGCAGCAGCAGCAGGCGCAGCAGCAGCAACAGCAACAACATCAGCAACAGCAACAGCAGCAGCAGCAGCAGCAGCAGGCGCAGCAGCAGCAACAGCAGCAGCAACAGCAACAGCAGCAGCAGCAGCAACAACAGCAGCAACAGCAGCAGGCGCAGCAAGTGGCTTTGGCATTGGATACGTCTGCGTTTCGCTTTCGTGTAAAAGTTTAGTGGGGCGGTTAATGGGGGAAGTTGGTGCCGAGTGCTTTTGTCGGACAATGTTGCATAAATCATGCATAAAACTGAAAATTGAATATGAAACCAGCATATATATATATATATATATATGTGTGTGTGTGTGTGTGTGTCAATCACATATATACATAAGTTAACGCATTTGACCAATCATGATGAATTAATGATATATTGATCAGACCCTTTAAAGACTTGTAAACGACTTGTGCAGATAGAAAAGTGATAAGAACGCGATATATATATAATTATACTCTATATATACATATATATATATACTCTATGTAATATATACTATGAATAAGCCATCAATTTATACCATGTACAAAGTGGTTGATTAAAAATGCTGCTGATTCTAGTGCTGCCTGAATGTGTTGTTGAATTGTTGATTCACTTAAGACTTAACCGATGAATATCAATGTGATTGAAGCAGGAGTGTTAACAAGTGCTGAATGAATGCAATTCGACTTGAAGAAAGCATTTTAAAACAATGTAAAGGGCAACAATCAGCGGTTAATTAGCTGAATTGGAGGTGTATAGTGCTGCTCTGCGCTGCAATCGTCTGCCTTTGTTGTTAATCTCTCTCTCTCTCTCTCTCTCTCCCTCTCTCTCTCTCTCTTTCGCTGTTTTCTCGGTATTCATTAGCGACCCCAAAAGTGGGAAGCAATCACAAAACGCTTAAGGGAAATGCGGGCGAGTTATTTGGGTGCTAACCAGGCTAACCAGGTTCTGGGCATGCCAAATTGGCACGCCAGCGACCAGGTTAAGCTGTTCAGCTCAGCTCAGCGCAGCTCAGCCCAGGTCAGACCAGGTCGTCGGGTCCCGCGGCGAATTATCGCCAATCACTTGAGCAATAAATGAACCAAAAGTCGTTATGTGACTACAACAATAAGAGCAAGAACAAGAACAAGGATGACAACCACGACAACAAGCGATGAGCTAAGTTCACTCGACTACCAGTTAAGTGCTGCACTCAAAGAAAAAACAACACACACAAAATCAAAAAAATATAATAAAAAAGTTCACGAAAATCCGAACAAAATCAAGCCAAATAAATATATATAAATATATATATATATATATAGTGCAGCACTCGATCGAGATGATGATGAAAGAACAACATTGAGCAAAGTATAGAAAACTTTGTAAAAATCATAAATTTGATGAAAACATTGATATTGATTAATATTGATTTGTTTAATTTGGTAGATAATTTGTGGCAATTGGCATGAGTGGCTGTCATTTGGTTGAGTGTACGAAAGGTGTCCTTGACAAAGTGGCAACCAACAATTTTCGCAGCGCACTTTTCGGCGCTCTTTGCGACTGCTGCTGCTGCTGCAACGGCAAATAATGCTTGCTCATAAGTTGTGCTGCAGGCGTGATGTCTATATAGACAGTGAGCAGCAGACCAGAAAACCTCGAGCCACGTCCCAAGGCCACCAGACCCTGCCCCAAACTGACAGACGGACAGACAGACAGACAGATAAATAGACAGTGAGACAAACGCATTTATTCAGTTAACCTTTTTGTGCGTTGGGGCGACGGATACGCATCACAAGTCAAACCAATAAACTTATGTTGTTGCTGCCAGCCAGATACAAGGTGCAAAGGGGAAGGGGAAAGGGAGGGGGGGGGGGGGGTAGAGTCATACTAAACGATAGCACGTAGCAGCGTAAAGTAAATGGGAAAAGTTCCAGTCAAATTCTGATGAAATGAAATTAGTTTTCGCTTGAGTGTAACTTCCGTTTGTCGAAAGACTGGACAGCAAAAAAAATGAAGAAGCCAACCCACACACACAAAGTCCTGCAATTCAGGTGTGTGTGTGTGTGTGTGTGTGTTTGTGGTACAGGTGCAGCTTTATCTGCTGGGGAGCGTAGCATACGACCCAAGTGAATGACGGCAAAGTGACATCAATTCGCCTTCAAAATCGTTATCCCAATAGCTTCCTATATTTCTCACTCTTTGCCTGTGTGTGTGTGTGGAGTGTGTGTGTGTCTGCTCACGCGACAGCAATCAAACCACAAGAAGTCGCTTATAAATGACATACTTTTTACCACCACGTTCAACATCAACAACATCAACAACAGCAACAACAGCAACAAGAACAACAAGAACAACAATTACGACATCATGTTGCTTTTGCCACAATGTTCGCTGATACTTTGAAGTGCACAGAGGGCTGAGATCAAGTAGTAAATCATATTTAACTTTAATGACAGAGAGAAGGAGAGAGAGAGAGAGAGACAGACAGAGAGTTAGAGAGAGACAGCAAATGAAGCAAGTTAATATAAAATGCATTTAATTAAATTTCGTCATTTGAAAAAGTTAAAAAATATATATATAAATGCAAAAATAAATAAAATAAATATATTATACGGAAAATATGATATACAAAATGTGATTATATCTGTACTCAACACATTATAATTGAATTTATAAAGACGGCTTAAATGTAAGAGAATAAATTCAATTATTATTTTATTTGTGTGTTTTCAAAACTTGTAATTAATTCCAAAGGTAGAAATAAAATGTAGAAGAATAAACTCAGTTATTGCATATAAAATTGAATTTGTTTTAATAATTCTTTAAGCAGAGTTAAAATGTGTAATGTGATCAAATAAAATCAATTAATTTGTTAAACCTTTTGTATAAAATATTAAATTATGTGTGTACAAAAAGCTTCAAATTCCACTGTGCGCTTGTCGGTTTTTCAAGCGGACCGCATTGATGACTCGGCACACAAACATAATGACACACACACACACACACACACACACACACATACACATTGATACAAAAAAGTTTGAGTATCAATCAACGACGGTCAATCAATCAAATGTTGGAACAATGAAGTTGACGACGCTGTCGATCGGAGACTGAGAAAGTGGCTTCCAATCAAATTTTCCACTTTAGCAGGACGCGCGCGATTTTCTCTTTTTCATTTTGTAAAAAAAAAATGTATATTGAGTGTGTGTGTGTGTTGGTGTGTGTGTGTTGGTGTGTGTAGCACGTTTAATTTAGGTCAGGTTTTCAAAGTGGTCAGTTTTCAATTTACTGTGGAAGCAACGAGCATATGCAATTTATAAATTTTGTAATTGCCACTTTTATAAACTGTGTGTGTGTGTGTGTGTGCGTCCTATATTTGAAATGCTTCATGCCGCACAGATGCCATTGGAAAGTTGACGTCGACGAAAAATGTTGCTGGAGCATTTCGAATTATTTACAACTGGCTAAGAGTGGCTGCCAGAGAAACCAGTCAAGAAGAAAACACAACAAGACCACAAAAATAACAACAGCAACGAGAACAGCAACGAAAATTTATGTTATTAGCCCCGTTCACAGTTGGGACACAGTTGCAACATTTGCTACAACAGCATTCCATGTTGCACCCACCTCGGTTCTACTGAAATGCACTTCAATGCTTAAATGACAGTCAGGTTTTTTTTTGGGGCTTCCACAGAAAATCATTTGGGATGCGGCAACAACAATAAACACAACACAAATAAGCATGTTTATACAAAACTCTACAACTCAACTAACAAATACCCTTGCATACAATTATTTTCCAAAAATATTATTCAGTTATTAAGTGATAATAAAAAGCAGTCAATTTTTGGTATACACAAAATGACTAATTGATTTAAAAAGTGAATGATTTTCCGGTAATCCACAAAATTGGTTATTATTTCGATTATTTTCGAACAGTGTATATTATCGAAGAAGTATGTATATTATATATATGTATATATGTATAAATATGACAGTCGATGCTTGAGACTATTTGATGATACCCATTTTAGTTGTTCATCTTTTTCACGAGGGTATAAAAACTTGGGGTACAAAATAAAAATGAGCAACTTTTAGTGCAAGGGAAACGTAAAATGCATAACAACAACAGCAACAAAAACAACAACAACAACAGCAACAAAAACATTAAAAAATGTTACTTAAAAATATGATGAAAAAAGATGAAAAGGAAAAGAAGCATCGCAAATTGGCGAGAACTTGAAGAAGTGCTTAACTAAATGTACGACATGAACATCATAATACTCCCGGCTATAACTATGTATGTATATATGTACATAGATGATACTAAGTATAAATATACTCGATGTATATGTAGATAACACAAATTTGTTAGACTTGTAAATTTGGAGGTTGGGGAGACGACCTGATTTGGTTAACAGACAGTCAGAGTTTTGGCCGAGGTCAGAGCTCGACCGGAGAAATGAAATCACAAATTGCGCTTAAAAGTATGCAATAGAAATGGGAAAATAGTGTTCCTTTGATTGTGGCTCATTTGCAAGCGTCTATTATTTGTTTCGCACGCTGGCAGCTCGAGCACCCGGCTACATAATTACCCCCAACACACTAAAGCACAAAAGGGGCGGGGCGTGGCGGGGGCGGGTTGGAAATGGGGGATTTGGAGGGGCGAGGTAGCGGACTTAATCGTGGCACCTGTCCAGCTGGTCAACTGGTTGGCCAAGTGACATGCTACGCCGGGTGGCATAATTAAAAGTTAAGGACCTGAACGGGACACACACACACACACACACACACACAGAGCTAAAGGACTCTCTCTCTGGACCCAGTCACAGCAGTCAAAGGGAGTTAAAGTGAAGCTTTAGCTTTACTGCATAGATACAACTCTACGTTGACTGCAGAGAGAGCGAGAGAGAGAGCGAGAGAGAGAGAGAAAGAGAGAGCGAGAGAGAGAGAGAAAGAGAGAGAGAGAGAAAGAGAGAGAAATATAGAAAAGGGTACGGCGTATCTGTTAAATTGTTCACCAAAGAACTTAGTGCAGATGTATTCGAATGAGTTGTCACTTTCGCATTAGCTTTCATTATTAAGTGTATTATTGACAGGCCAAAAAATGATTAATTCTGATTTTGTATTGAATATTATATATTAATTTTATATATATATTTACACAGTTAAACACGACGTGTACGCAATATAATTGATGAGAAAAGAAGCCAAATATCAATAAAAATCAAGGCTTGCCAACTGGCCCTAATTAAAGCCAAAGTCAAATTGATCGATTTCGACTATTTGTGCTAATTTTGTGATTGAATTGAAATTTCTTAAGTATTCTCCTATTCGGCCATCTAAACTTTGTCAGCAAAAGCAAAAGTTTTACTGTGAGGAATATTAATTTTTCTTTTTTATCAAGACCGTCAAGTGAAGCCGGAAATTGAATATGTGGCTGCATTGCTTCATTTCGAGTTTTATGAGGTTGCAGGTGAATTATGTGAGTCGCGGCAGGGGCAGGAATTTTGTCATTTAAGTGGAAAGTGCAACTGGCAACTCGTCGTAAATGCCACGCTGCTTTTTTCCATTAAGCCACTGCTAATTAGAGCAACTTTGTCAGTTGACTTTCAACATGTAAGACTGAATAATGAAATTATTCACAACTAGAGAGTTAATCGACTCTACTGAAAAATAAATAAAATAATATTTCGCTACATATGTTTCTCGTAAGACTTATCAGAGTAGGTTTTGTTAGTTCAGTTTGTTTTTTTTTTTATTCTATTTTAATTTAATCCCAGAGCTCTGTGCAATTTATCGTTTCTATTCAGTTCATTCAAACCCAACAACTGAGGCGGAAATCAACAAAATCCAAATCCAATCCAATCACGCAACTATCTATATTTTGTGAGCAAAGAGCGAAACGCAGCTCGACTTTATAAACAATAAACAAACGACTTTTCTTGGCTACTTGTGATCATGGCATTTGTGGCCAGCATCGATGAGCGGGGCAATGAGATAATGCGCATAATGCTCTATCCGGATACCAGATCGACAACCCAAGCTGTCTGGCGGTAAGTCTTCTCTCGTTGAATGTGTGTCTGTCTGTGTGTGTTGCTCATTGCTTCTGCAGCAGGGGACGCTTTGATCATCTTAATCGATTTCATTACTTTGCCTACGACAGTCGTTGGCAGGACGTGCGAGTGTTGCAGGCACAACACATGGAGCATCAGGACGAGCGTGTGAGGAAGCGGCAACTGTTGCTGATGCACCCGAACTGCCAGGACCCGGAGAAGCCTCAAGCTGCAAGGTGTCAGTCGGAGAAGCAGCAGACTGAGAAGCAGCAGTCGGAGAAGGAACAGCCAGAGAAGGAACAGCCAGAGAAGGAACAGCCAGAGAAGGAACAGCCAGAGAAGGAACAGCCAGAGAAGGAACAGCCAGAGAAGGAACATCCAGAGAAGGAACAGCCGGTGAAGCAGCAGCCGGAGCATCTAGATATGGAGAAATCACAGCAAATCAGTTCGGAGATGAACGCACATCACAAACCGCAGGATCAGATGAATGAAGGACGCAATTCGCCTTTCTACTCCTGGCTGGCAGCCAAAAAGTAAGGACTTTCTCGTTAATCACAACTTTCGCATCCGACTTACTTCACTCTTAGCCAATAGTTTCTCGTGTCTTGGTTTCTGTATTCTCTTTGTTGACTGCGCTTTCTAGCTTCTCTCTGATTACTTTTTACTTTCGACTAACTCCTTTTCAGTTACACAACTCACTTTCCTCATGCGTCTTACTCATTTCTCATTACTCACTCTTTCTGTTCTGTATCCTTCCTTGCACTACTTGGTGGCATGCCACTCTCTTTAACTACTTCGTATTGACTGGCATCAGTGAGGCACAGCAGCAGGAGGCGTTTGATCGTCGCTTGATCGCCCAGCTGGATGATCAGCTGGCATTGGAACGCGCAAAGCTGGCGGAAGTGAAATACCAGCACTGGTATCAGACCAAAGCCAGATTGCGTCGCTCCAAGTCCGAGATGAGCTCCACGCCGGCTGCGCTGAACTCGCACAGCGCCCGGCAATCGATAACCGCAGCAGAGGCACATCGACGCCTGCTCGCCTGGGAGCAGGAGAAGCTCAGCGAGCTGAGGGCGAAGCGCTTGGAGCGTGAGGAGCGCCAGGCGCGCCAGCAGCTCATCGAGACGACTCGACGCGAACTCAACTTGGGCGCCTACGAGCAGTGGAAGGATGCGGCACGCAACCGGCCCAAGCCAGTGGCCATGGGTCGTGGCTTGGACTCGCTGCGTGCCACAAATGCGCCCCACTACATCAATCCCAAACAGTGGCAATCCCCAATGTCCACGGCTCAACGCACTGCCCTGAAACCGGATTTGGAGAAGATACAGCGTTCGATGCCAGACTACGAGCGACTGCATCGACTGGCGCAGCCGCGTCAGCGCCTGCAAGTGGCCAACAAGCATGGACAGAGTTGTCCAACCAGCACAGTAGAATCGAATCGAAGCTGCTCCGATGGAACTGCAAAGGCTCCAAAGAAGCAACAGCTACAAATTTTGCATAAAAACAAGTTGGAAATAGCTCAAAACACGAAGCCAGAAATGATGCAACGAATATCGCAAATGAAGCAGCAGCTTCACAGTTCGCAGATGAGAAACCGGAGCAGCAGTGGGGCTAAACAGGAGCAGCTGCTGAGTGGTGAGAAGAAGTCAATTGGCCAAGCTGTCAAAGCTGTGCAGCAGTCAGTCATTGATCAAACTCTACCAATGAAAGTGGGAAGGAAGCATGAAACGCTCAAGGACTGTGTGCAACAGGATGCATTGCCAGAGGATGCCAACACAGAGCTGAACAAGAATGAAGCAGATGTGGATGTGGAAGGCCAAGTTGCCAAGTCGGGTCTCGAGCTGCAGGCTCAGTTGGGCCGCAGGATTTACGGAGGAGCCTCTCAACTGCAGCTCAGCAGGATGAAAAATCAAAAATCAAAACCCTGGCGATAAATTGAAGACGATTTAACCATAATATATATATATATATTTTTTTATACTTACTCGTTTAGGGCGAAATTAAATTGAGATAATAATAAAATAAATAAGTAGCAAATTGCTTTTGTTTGCAATTGAAATGTGTCGAGAAAGCAGAGCGGAGCTGGCAGAGCTGCCAGAGCTGAATCAATGATCAACCAATAAGATAATATTTGTTCATTTGTATTAATTTGAATAAGCAAACCTTTCCAATCACAATCACAATAACAACTGGCAACAACAACTGGCTTAAATGAAAATATTTATTTGATTTATTTGCTGATTCATCATCATATCGGCAACTGCTCAATGACAGCTTACACAGCTGTTAATTATTGTTACCATTGTTATTGAATATGCCGGCAAATCTGTGCGAGGAGCGGCGCAAGACACGTGTTCTGCAATAATCATAATTATAAAACAGTGCTCCACCAAGGATGCCCATTACTGTAGTGCTAATTGAAAGCGTGTCGCGAAAGGCAATTACCTTTACCCAGTGGAGGAGTGGAGGAGGAGGGTGGGTGGCTTGTGAATTTGGTTTGGTTTCGTCGAATCGATACGGCTTAGTCATTGCTGGGGCTTCCGAGCGAGTGACCCAGCTAGTTGGTTGCCTTTGCCGTTGCCTTTGCCTTTGGCTTTGGCTTTGCCATTGCATTAGTCGTCCAAACGTTGTTTGGTCATCAACAACGGCAATGCAACGTTGGCACAACAAAGTGGCCGTGGTTAGCGGCGCCAGCGCTGGCATTGGTGCTGCCTGCGCCCGTGCCCTGGTCGGTGCCGGTCTGGTGGTTGTCGGCTTGGCCCGTCGCCACCAGCGCATCGAACAGATGCGATTGCAATTGCCGCTCGCTGAACAGAATCGCTTGCATGCCTTGCGCTGCGACATAACATCGGAGTCGCAGGTGCTCGATGCCTTTGAGTGGACGCAACGCGAATTGGGCGGCGTCCATGTGCTGGTCAGCAATGCGGGCATCATGGCAGCCAGCACTGAGCTGAGCGGCGCCACAAATACACAGGGTATACGCGACACCATCGACACGAACATTATGGGCACTGTGTACTGCATACGCGAGGCATTCCAATCGATGCGGCGGCGCGAGACCGAGGAGGGACACGTGATCATCGTGAATAGCGTTGCCGGGCAGCAGGTGCCCAATTTGGGGCCGCTGTTGCCATCGCTCAACATCTATCCGGCTAGCAAGTTTGCGTTGCGTGCCATGCAGGAGATCTATCGACAGGAATTTCAGCGCCACAAAACCCGTGTACGGGTCTCGGTGAGTCCTTCCACCAAATACATAAAATCGCTTGCGAAGCGAGGCAAATCCTTGCGGAGTCCAACTGTTGCAACTATCCAATATATAATTCATATCAACTGAGTTCGGTTTGAGTATTTTGTGGCAAGCAAAACATGAACTGCTGATTGGAACGATCGTTCCTATAACAGCTATATGATATAACTATGTAGATTCTTATGAAAGTGAGCAAGAATCCTTAAGAGACATCCTAGCAGAGTATGTCGCCTTAACTGGGAAAAGATGCCGAGATGAGTTTCAAAGACATCGAAACCCTCAACTAGATCCCAGTGCAGTTATCCCAATTATAATAATGAATAAATGAAAATATTGCCAGTTTCAAGAAGATGGCTTCCAGATTGATGGACTTGAAACAGACAGTCGGATATAATGTTCCCTGTAAAGGGGTCAATGATTCGCCATCAGCCTGTCTATTCCTGCACCTACTCCTCCTGATGCTGATATGGTAGTCACGTGTCACATTTTTCAACATTTGCAGACCATCAGTCCGGGCATTGTCGACACGGACATCCTGCCCGAGCAGCTGCAAGGCATCATCAAGCAGCAGATGCCGATGCTGAGCTGCAAGGATGTCGCTGATGCCATACTCTGGACCATCGGAACGCCATCCAATGTGCAAGTGAGACTCTTTGATGGACAATGCTTAGCATTCAATACTTGTAATTAACCCTCTCTTCTTGATTATGACAGGTGCAGAACATCACCATCAAGCCGCAGGGTGAAAAATTTTAAACGCATCTGCCAAGAATCAATATTAAATGCAACAGATTAATTCCAACCAATTTGTTAAACAAGACTCAACACCTTCATTAACTGAGCCACAAATAAAGTTTCTAGAAAACTGAAATAGCTTAAAGAATTTAAGTTTATGCCCTGAACCGACTTATGAGAGGAAAGCAAAGCTAGCTCGACTAGAGTATTCATATTTGTTTCAAGTTCATTTGGGTTTAGCAAGCAATATGACAGATGGCTGGCAAATGGGCCACAAGTATTAATATTAGAACTAAACTCAGTTTAGCCATCCAAAGAACACAACTGAGTCGAATGAATCTGGTTTGAAATGCATTCAGATGAGTGTTGAGTGTGTGTCTAAAAATGTTGGTGGTCTTAATTTGGGGTTTGCTCAATATGATTACTGTGAATGTGTGTGTGTGTGTGCAAACACAATAACAATTTTCCCATCGATCTGTGGCCATTGTTTGGTCCATGGAGATGCACGAAAATTGTTGCACTCAGCTTAACAAATGAAACAAGCTGCAAGGAGTTGTAAGTTGCAAGCTGCAGCTGGAGTCAGAGTCAGAGTCGGAGCTGAAGTTGAAGTTGAAGCTGCTCCAAGCAGCTCATTGGATTGGCAAACACGAAAGCAGGCAACCAACGAATATTTGTTGGCCAAAAAGAAAAATAGGGGGAGAATGACGAGGGAAACATAAAACACTGCTTGCAATTTTTGGCTAAAATGTAGGTTCCCTTTTATCCGGCACTCAAATCAGCAGCAGCAGCTGCACTGACTTTATCTCCCTCTCTCTCTCTCTCTCTCTCTCTCTCTGTGGGGCATTGAGGCATCGATTGGACACACAGGTAGTGTGTTTGGGGCAAGCATTAAAGGCAAGTTGTGTGTGCTGTTCTGCCAGACCAACAAATCTAACTGAGCGACACAATGAAAATGGATTAAACGGATAAGTGGGCAAGTAGGCAAGTGGACAGATGGGCAGATGGGCAGATGAACTCGGAATTTGGCGTTTCGGTCTTGTGGATCATCCTTAAGCCACACACTCACCTGCTGCTCATAGTCTGGTCAGAGTGAAGCACCTAAGAGGCCTGCAACTGTGCCTGGGGCTGTTGCCAGTTGCCAGTTGCCAGTTGCCAGTCAGTGAGCCAGTGAGACCGACAATGTCAAGTTGCCTCTGCTTTTGTGTCCCTAATTGAATTAACCAACAACCGACAACCGACAACCAACAGCCAACAGTCAACAACTAGTAGCTGATTTTGGTTACAATAAGATAAGGCCAACAGAGCAAACAGCTTCGCAAAGCTCCTCGCCACTTTGTCTATGGTTGTGTTTGGCTCTCTCTCTCGCAATTAAGTAATCATTTAACTATCGCCGATAGTTTAATCTGCTTAAAAAGCTGGAAATAAAGTTGAAATAAATAATTGAAAAGCTTTCAACTAATTATGTGAATATGAAGAGCTGAAGTTGGTTGTCAATTAAGTTAACTTCAACTTTAACGGAAGCTTCTCCAAAACGCTCAAAGCTCCTCACTGAGTTTTAAGCAACTTTTAATATTATTTCTTAAACATTTTTGTATGTCTTTTTTTTGTTGTAGAATTTGATTTTGGCTAAGCTGAAACTGACTTCAAAAGTGAAGCTTTGCGATTAATCGAAGCTTTGTCGCGTTCGCACAGCGCACGCTGTGCCACGGAGAGTGGCATGCGGAGAGAGATGGTTGCCAGCTGCTGCTGCAACTTTCGGCGCTGTTGCTGCGTCAACACTGGCGACGCTGCTCCTCCAGCTGACGACCTGGTCTTGCCCGGCTGCCCCGTTGCGAATCGGGGCTTGAGCGACTTGACCGCCAGCTGGGCGAGCCAACGCTGCCAGGACAGCCGGGAGAGCTGCTCACGCACCCGTTCGTCCATGTGCTGCTGCTCCTTGGCGCGCAGCTGCTGTTCGCGTCTCTGCTGCGACTCGTGCTGCTTACGCTGCTCCCACTGCCGCAAGCAGCGGTGTCTCTGCTCCGACGTCGATGCGACCAGTGCAGCCGCCTCCGCCGTCGTCGTCGACGCCTTCACTCGACTGCGACGCTTCAGGTGCAGCCAATCCGCATAGCATTGATCCGACATCTGTTTGCGCACCTGCCTCACCTGCTTCTGTTGCTGCAACTCGCGACGAAACTGACAACGACGCACCAGCTCCTGTTTCCTGTGTGTTGCAAACAGGAATGCATCTTTAGTCGACTGCAACTTAGATATCTGTGGGTGTGGCTACAATCACAAAGCAAGTAACAACCAAAGGGAAAGAATGGGCTGCGGATGCTCACCGGTCTACTGACAGCAGATCTGGGCCTAAGAAGTCACCTAACCAAACTAGGCCGAAGAATCCTCGAGGTATATCCTAGCAGAGTCTGTCTGGGATGCTGGGGTTGATGGACTAGAAGTATAGGCTCAGAAGGGGGCCCAATAGAGCTACTAGATCGCAGTGCAGGTCTCCCAACTGTAACAATAATTGCATGTGTCTCATAACCCTTAAGGACCAAACATAATTATAAATTGATAAAAAACAAGATCAACCGATCCTGTGGCAGTTATAGATAGCTGATGCTATGGCATCCATATGGCGAGTAGTTGTCGTGGGATTACAGCGCTGCTTGACAGATCTAACAGCAGTCGTAGAAGAAGAGTCCTAGAAGAACAGCAGAACGAGAGAGTCGAGTTCGGGACGAGTCCTCTCGAGGAAATAAATCGTTTGTTTTATAGAGTCAACAATTGGGTTGCAAGTCCCATGCTCATCTTTGACTGCTACTGCCACTTATAACGATTATTATTATTAATAATAAGCAGAACACAATCAGTCCTACATCTATCTATATATGCTCTAGTTCGGCCGATTCTGGCATATCAGTATATAATTCCAAGAGGCTCTTGCATGTACAAATCGGACAAACAGACAGACATGGGCCATCGAATATATATATTCACGAGGAATGTCTAATTTCCAAAGTTGGGCTCACTTTTTGGACAGCAGCCACTGGTCAAAGGTCAAACGATGGCGCCGCAACCAGTTTGGCTGCGTCTCCAGCCAACAGTTGTCGCTGCTGCTGCTGCTGTTGCGTCCTGGTTGGGCGACAACTTGACGTGGTTGCTGGTGGGTGACTGCCGTGGGGCAATTGGCGTCCAGTTGGCCGCCCTTCGAATCACTGCTCTGCTCGAGTCGCAGTCGCAGTCGCAGTGTGGGAAACACGTTCGGATTAAACCCAGAGCTGTGTGCAACTCACAGTGGCCATTAGCTAAACGGACTCACAGCTGTTTGGGGAAATCACTGCTGCTTACCCCACATTCAGATAATTGAGCTGTGACCCTGTTGATCTTGGGATCGTTGCCACCGCTGTCGAGGAGGTCAGGCAGTTCTCATTGGTCTCCTCCGCCCTCATCGAATGTCTGAATAGGCAAAAAGCATTAAAAAATAAATATTCAATTTTGAATTTGATGCCAGATGAGCTGAATGAGAATTTAGAAAAGTGTTATTATTATTACAATGCCAAAGGTAGCCAGTCCAAACACTATTTTATTACTTTTTCTAGTATTTATATATTTTCTAGATATGTGAACTTTAAACTCACCATTCCAGTTATTGTTTGCGGCTTGCACTTAATAATAATATTTTCTCAAATGGTTGCAGACTCTCCGAGTCTGTTTTGGCCAATTGTGTGGAGATGTCAAGTATCTTTTAGCCAGGTGAAGGTCGCAACAACCGTCAAGTGTTTGCCGTTGTCTTATTTAAGCTGTCAACAGACAACAAACAACAGACAACAACAGCAACAACAACAACAGCAACAACAACAGCAAAAGCCTTTAGTTTATTGTTTTTTTGATATATTTATTTGTGCCCCGAACCCATTGAAAATGTGTAAAGAGTTGTTTTGCATATAGATGTGCTGCTCTGAATATCTAAGATGTGTACGATTTACGATGGGTGGCAAAGTGTCTTGGTTGCAAGGTGTCTCCTTTGTGAGTTGCTTGCTGGCTTGCTGTGAGATGGTTGCAGCAGAGGTGCAACAACTGTCGCAACCAGAACAACAAACAGCTGCGACTTGTAAGTCGCGAAAAGCTGCAAATATTTTATTGTACTCAGTCAGAATGTCAACATAAAAAAGAGACACAACTCACACACACACACACACACACACACAGGTGACATTTATTTGTTTTATTTTAATTGCAGTTATGCAGTGGCAGCTATTGTGCGCTGTTGCTGAATGTGGCAGGGGCAAAGAGTGTCTGAGTGGGGAGGGGAGGCTGCAATGTTTGCTAACTGTGACTCCGACTTGGCATTTAACTGGTAAATTATGAACTGACTAACTGTCAACGTTGAACTTCCAATGTGTTGCAAGAGAGCGAGAGAGAGAGAGAGAGCGAGAGAGAGAGAGATAATAATGACATTTTAATTAAATTAAAGCAGACCATTTTGTTGTTGCTGCTTTCTGCTGTTGCTGCTTTTGACGGGGTTATTTTTGGTGTCATTTGCAACCTTACACAAGGGCTACACGCCCCTTGCCTCCCTGCCAGCCTCCTCAGTTGCACACTGTCAAAAACCATTTAAATATATCTCAAATATTTATCAAAACTTAAAAGTATCTCATCATTTATCTGGGGACTTGCACAGATTTTGCTTGTCAGCGTTTCACAGCGAATCAGTTGGAAAAAAGTTAAATAATTAAAGAAAGCAGAAGATCTATATAATCATTATTGGAATAGAAATTGAAGTCAGATGATATCAGAACTCTCATTTATTTTGCTCGCACTTCTCACACAACTTTTCTTGGCTCGATTATAGCTTTTTATCGATAATCGCATATCGATAAAGGCACATCTCTCCCATCATTTTAAGGCTACAGTCACAAAATGTGAATGGTTGGTTGTTGTCGATATCCCTGAAAGATCGGCAAATGCCATATCTGTGGCTACGCCCATAATCGCCAAAGGCGATATTTCAAAAAGTGTAAATCGATAAAACAGCATATCTCGCACAATTTTAAAGATAGAGTGACTAAACTTGGCAGATAACTAGCTGGTAACCTTCTTCAGAGATCGGCATATACATCTTCAGACCACGCCCACACCCGCTGCGCTCAGCAACTTAGAGAATGCGCATATCTTCCACAGTTTGTAGAGTCACCAAATTTCGAACTTATGCTACTGATCTGACCTCCCCTAAGAGATCGATAGATAATTGAATACGCCTCCACGCCCACTCCACTTTCTCTAATCATTTTTTTGCAGCCACGCCCACTTTCCCCCATATCTCCCTAGGAAACTAGGAAACTCTTCGCAAATTTGTTCTTCTTCTTGGCCACACCCTACCTGTTCTCTGCTAACTGTTATCAGCTGGTATTACTTATTGGTAGCAGAGTATTGCGCAGTCGGCTACGCACGCCTGCAATGCTCTCACTGGTTTCATGTTCGCTTTATTCGAATGCAACCGATGCGATTCGAGTGTCATTCAAATGAGCAGCGGCACCTTCAGCATCGATTGCCTTGTACAAATTGAAGAAGCCGCGCTGGCTACCCCTTCCCTTCCCTTCCCTTCCCTTAACAAAAAAGACAAACAAACAAACAACACACCGCCCACGCCCCCCACGCCTACTGGCAACGAAGCGCTGTCCCAAAACGAAAACCACATAAATTGCCGATTGCAATTGCAGAAAAAGGAAACAAACAAGGAATTTCGCAGGGTTGAAGGCGCCACAGCATCAACCATCCACACGCCCAAAGACCCCCATACAATATACTCCTATCAGCAGTCCCCCCCCCCCCCACACATTTACATGCTGCCGTAGAAAAGTAAATTGCCAGCGAGTTGTAATTGAAAAAAATTGCGTTGCATACTTGTAGGCATGATTTATAAAAGCAGCAACAACAACAGCAACAACAACAACAACAGTAACAGTAACAGCAACAGTAACAGTAACAGAAAACAAGAACAAAACGGAAGAAAAAAAAAGCGAAAGCAAAAAAAAGAAGCAGAAAAAAAACTCATGGCAATTGCTGAGACAAACAATTTGCGTGTTGCTCTTATTGTTGTTGTTGTTGTTGTTGTTGTTGTCGTTGCTGTTGTTGTTGTTGTCGTTGGTTTTGTGTCAGCAATTTTTGGTGTTGTTGTCGCTGCTGCTGCTGCGGCTGCTGCTGCGGGTATTGGCAAATGCGTCGAAAGACAATAAACATGGCCACATGAATAAATAAAAAAAAATCCAAATAAGAATTTTATGGTCGAGTCAGCTCGACTACGAGATGCCCTGTGAAAAGTCACTCAAGTCTTAGACTACTTTTGAGTCGATTTCAAAATATGGCAGAAATATTTATTTAATGTCAACTAAGAAATGATCTTAAACTTAAAATACAATTTATAAACTGAAAAATAAGAAATATTTATCAGATATATTGATATAGTGATGTCGAATTCTTTACTGTTTGTTGACTTTATTTTATAATTGAAATATGATTTTTAAAAGGATTTTTACATATTTTAAATATTTATTTATTTATTATTTATTTTTTAATTCTTTTTCAGGGATGAATTCACAGCGCCTGCTTTAAATAGTCTCATTTACCCATCCATACTTGATATAGGCACCGTTCCGATATTCAAAAGAAATAATTTAGTGATTAAATTTGTCGTCATAATTGTGAAAGTGGTGTTTTTATTGCCAAATTTGCAAATGAGAAAGCTTTGCACACCCAAATGTAAGCGGCTTGGCGATAAGCTTTAATTGCGAATAAAATAATGTGGTAAAATAATTAACGCACCGTTTAGATTTATTTATACACAAGTTCGAATCGAAATATATATATATATATATATATATATACGATATATATATATCGTAGATAACGGTGCACTATCTGCCATATCTTTCTCACAGATGCTGCTGATCAATATGAGAATATGTTTTCGACTATTTCGCAGAGGATCTTCATGAAATTCGACCACTTTGATACATCATATTTTTGTGTATATTAAATATCAATTGGTGAACTATATGCAGTGCTATCGGAAATCGATTTATCTTGGGCACAATTATCGATAAAAATAAAATAAGCTGACATTCCCAATTGAAGGTGACCAGTTGCAAATGTCTCTGAGACACTTCTCTTCAAGCAGGCGAACAAACAGACAGACAGACAGACGAACATATCTTAATATCGACAGAGCTACTGATGCCGATCAGGAATATATATCTATTCCTTATGGACTGCTTCTGCTTTCTGCCTGAAACATACTTTTGCACAACTTCATTACACTCTTTAAGGCCAATTTCAATGTGTTCAGCGTATAAAAACAGAAAGCAACAACAACAAAAACAGCAACAATAAAGTGAGAAATTGTCGTTAAGCGAACTGTGTGTGTTCTACCAACAAACAACAAGAACAACAAGCAACAACAACAACAGCAATAATAAGAACAAAAACGTTAACAGAAGCAATGAAGCAACAACAAGACTTAAACACCGAATTGCAGTTGCTCTAGAATAAATAGTAAAAAAAAAATATATATATATAGAGAGAGAGAGACAGAGAGAGAGAGAGAGAGAGAGAGACAGACAGAGAGAGAAAGAAAGAAGAGTTGATAAGTATAGATTTTCTTGGACTTGATTTTATATTTGATTTATTACTGCATTTGTTGAAGTCAAACAGAATCGAAATTTAGTTATTTCTTTAATTAATAATGTCTTTCTTTAATAATGTCAAAAAAGTACAAGCAAAGAATTGAATTCAAGTAAATTTTGAATAAAATGTAAAATTATTTATCGAGCTAAATACCAAAAAAAAAATAATAATAAAAAAGTTTCTTTCAATTATTCATTTGAAGTGCAGCTCAACTTTCGATTCCTTTCGCACAAAAATCTCAATCCAATATTTGAATACCCTTTTCAACAGTAACCGCAACAACAACAACAACAACAACAACGGCAACAATAGCGGCAACAACAACTGCAACATAAAATGTTGTTGCTTGGTTTGTTTTTTTTGTTTTTTTTTTTTTTGCGTCAGTCTCTGTTTCAATAATTTTGAATATACGCGCACATAAAATGTATTTTTATTTATGCCACACTTTGGGGCAGCTGCCCCTCTGCCCCTCTGCCCCATTGGCCCACTGCCATCATTCCAGCGGATTCTGTTGTCGGTTTTGTAACTTTATTAAAAGCATTTGGAGCCGCCAGTGGAAACGGTACGTGCCAGGTACACCCTGCCGCATAGGTACACAGGCACACAGGTATGTGGCACACACATATAAATGATGACTCTTAGACAAGTCCAGTAACAAGACAAGCTGCGCACACACTGAGAGAAACGAGTGGAGCAGCTTTTCACAGATTCAGATTCAGATGCAACTCAGTTTTGAACTGATCAGAGAAGTTCACATAAATTGCTGAAAAGTGCTTGAAAAGTATTTCAACGTGTGGCAGCTTCCAAGTGGCTCAACAAGTTGCACAAATAAATGCAGTCCTAATTTAAATATGCCCAGGATAAGTTTTATCAAGCAGGGTTTAATGATTGCTTGTTTGATTCTTATTTCAATTCCTTTTTGTTAGAGGTGCTTTAGAAGTGGTTCAGAACTATTTTTTGAAAAAGGTTGCACAGCCGACTCGATGCAGTGAATCAGCAGCTGTGCAGCTTTTGAGTAACGATTCAGAAATTCGAATGACTCATTTGTTGTGCGAGAAACACATTTGACGAACCGGTTCTGTTTCTGTTCGACTCAATTGTGGTCATTCTTGTGTTGTTGGGAATGGAATCAATTTTGTAATATACCTTATCTTCTAGATTCCCATCGTTTGTAGAATATTTTATTTTATTATAATCTTTAAGGCAACTTATCTGTGGATTATTGTGATGTCCTTTGCCTCAACACAATTTATCTGATACATTTTTCTTCTGTTCCTATTTCTATTTTATATAATTGTTAATTTTTATAATTTTTGGATAATTGGTTTTATTATAATCTCTAAGGCAACTTACATCTGGATTATTAAAATGCCTTTTAACTCAGGGCAATTTCTGTTCATATTTGTATCTTTTTGTTGTTTTTAATTATGTAATAAACTTTAGAGAAACTTACATTCTGGATTTAATTTATTTTTAATTTATCTTTTTCTCTGTTCTTATTTTTGTTTTGTATAATTTGTAGAATATTTAATTTTATAACACACTTTTAGGCAAATCATCGCTGGATGACCTTGTTTAAGATGTCCTTTAACTCGAGGCAATTTCTGTATTAATTATTATTTTTTATACTTGTTAATTTGATAATATGCTTTAAGGAAACTTAAATGATGGATTTCTATCATTGCAATTGATCTGATGTCTTTTTGCTACTCTTATTTTTATTTTCTATAATTCTTCATTTTATAATAAATATGGATTCTTCAGATGTCTTATATATATCCCGTATATGATATCAATTTTTTTACTGTTCTTGTATTTATTGTATAACATACTTTAAGGCTAGCTGGCTTATCAGGTTATCTTATCTCATATCGAATTCGAATTCGAATTTTTCTGTTTTTCTGAGTGTATTTTGCTTGGCAAACATTTGCGACATTTTTGTGTATTTGCCATATTTCGACATTTTCATAAATTGACAAATTTTATGACGCCAATAGGCAGCACAACACCAACAGCGGCAGCAACATTACCGCTATCGACGTGCCACATAAAAAAAATCAACCAAAAATACAAAAAAAAAAAACCGAAAAAAAATTGGAAGGTTGCAAATTTCCGGTGTTGCTGCAGCAATATTTGATAATTTGCTGTGAGACTGACAGGAAGTGCTGATACGACTCCACCCAGCGCACCTGTCACTTCTCCCTGCCACCCCCTCCCCCACCTTCCCCTATCACCCATACCCCCTACCACTTGGCATCCACAAGTGTTGCCTGGCAAAACAAAAGAACCTTGGCCTTATCAGTCAGCTCAAGGTCACCGTGTGGGCGGCGCTTAAGCGACCCGCAACTTGCACCCACACCTAACACCTAACACACACACACAGAGACACACACACACACATACACACACACTCGCTTGCTGCCTCATTGACAAACTGTGTGCGAAACGTAGCCGTTAATTAAAGCAACATTTTGTTGCCCCCAACAACGACCACAAAAGAAACGAAGAAAACGCGTGGAAAGTAGGAGCAGGGAGGGGGGCTGGGGGGGCTGGGCTTAACATTGACAAAATGGCTAGCATGCCACTTGTGGCAAGTAGGCAGTTTTGCCTGTATTTGCTTCAATTCATTTGTTGCGTTTTCTTTTAAATATTACTTGACTTGGCATCATTAATCGCAGATCGATAACATCGATAGCTGCCTATCGATAACACCGATAACATCCCCTTTTAAAGATCAACCCACAAACTTTTCTCATTTTTATTGATTTAATTATAATTAATTTGCTTTTAATTAAAAGTCAGCAGTTTATTTCCAGTTCAATAAATTCATTTATTTAATCTTCATTTAATATAAATTTCTTGATTTCTAATATTTTATTAATTGTAGTATTTAGTTAATTTTTCAATGTGGTTTTATATCTGTTTGAAAATATTTATTTTGTATTTCCATATTCGACTTGAGAGTGGCACACTTTGCTTTATGTTTGTGGCACGTTGCACGTTGCACGTTTATTTTTCTGACCAAAACAGAAAACTGAAACCGCAAAAAGCAGCAACTAATAAAAAGCAACAACAAAATAAAAAATAATAATCGTAATCACAATTTGCAACCAAAAAAGAAACGAGTCGCATAAAAGATGATCATAATTATGATAATAATTATGTAATTAGTTAATTGCCACTGAGTGGCAAATTGTTGAGAATTTTGCAACTTTGTTGTTGGTGAATTTGTGGCAAGCTTATTTTTTTTGTAGAATTTTAAGTGATCCATAAAGTGACACTCCTGTGGCACTTGCAACTGCTGGACGAACCCTTTTACACGGAGAGTGATCTCTTGTGGCACTTGCAACTGCCTGCAGCTTATTAAAAAAGTTAGATGAGCTTTGATTGGCAGAATATGTTCCGAGAATGGCCATCAATACGATCTGAGCTATATTTGTCTTTTGGTTGCCCATGTGTTGCATGTATTAATCTCCCAGGACAACTGTGCAACGCACTCAACTCGACCAATAAATCAAGCCAAAACAGCCGCAGCAATTTTTACTTACTGTTGCCAATTACTGTTAAATAAAACTGATAAAAACAACAATAATAACAACTAATAGACACACACGCATAAATCACAGATTAATCATCGTGCAACTCGTATTTTAAGAGCGCAGAGCCTTGCTCTCTTACGAGCGAGAAGGCGGGAGTAAGAGAGCGAGTGCGAACATGTGCTTAACAGGTTGCGACGCGCTTAACAGGCCTGGTTGGGCGGCACACTGTTGCCGTAACAGCGCAGCCGCATAAGCATGCCCGGCTGGCGTAGCCAAACACGGCCGCTTAACAGATGCAACTGTAACCGCTATGTTGGCAGATGCAAAAGCAAAGCCGTACGACGCGGACGTGCAGCGGGTTCGGGTTCGAGCGAGAGTGTTGAACGTAAATTCCGTAAATTTTTGTGTGAATCTTGTAAATTCTCCGTTTCGTTGTTTCGCCGGCAAACCAATAAATTAGCTAAAGAAAATGACGAAGAAGTTGTTGAGGAATACCAATTCCAATTTCAAGCACTGAAGCGAATTCCGTTAACAGAAAGTGCCGCAAAATGCGCGCGTGTTTTTTTTTTTTTGCTTTTGACCAACGACGATTGTCCATGTTCCAATTAAATGCAATTATTCTTTTTTGTTATTGTTAATATATCAAGAAGTGAGTGCGAAATCAAATGCGAGTGCAGTTGAAGCAAATGCCAAATGCCAAATGCCAATAAATAATAAATAATAAATCATAAATCACAAAAGGCAACACAAAAGCAAAAGCAAACAGCAAAATTCAAAACAGAAGCTGCTCCAAGCGAAGAGCGACTAAAGCAAAAGGTAATCAAGCAAATAATATACAAAAAAAAAAAAAAAAAAACACACACAGATATATAATAAAAGGAATTAAATTAAATTACAACACCAACGACGTATGTGTGTGTGTGTGTGTGAGTGCAGCGTTAACCCGTTGAACCGGTTAAGCCAACAAATGCAGCAGCAGCAGCAGCGGAGCAAAATGAGCCTAACAAATAGAAGAAAAAGCAACAACAACAAGAACAAGAACAACAATAGCATCACTATGTTTTGGCTTGCAGTCTGTGACTTTTGCATGTGTGCGCGCGTGTGTGTGTGTGTGTGCTCTTTTAGGCGCAGCTTGCGATCGCGCTTACTCCTCTCTCGAGTGCAGCATCATTAGCAGCTAGCTGATCTGCCCGCTCTCTCCTACGTGCTCTCTTATAAAAGAGCAACAACAACAATAACAGCTACAACAACAGCGCTTATTCTTTAACTAACAGCTGCTGTTGCCTGCAGCTCGATTAACAATTCTCTTTTACATGCTCAGTTCGAATTACAAACAACAATCAAAAATGCAAAAAAAGAAAAAGGCAGCAAAAGTTCAAATAATAATTATTCTCAATACTCGTTCAACCGGTTCATGTCCGCAAACAATAACAAGCAAAGCAACAAACACAACAACACCAACAAATCAAACAGAACACATAAAAAATAAATAAATTTGCACTAAGCAAAAAGCGCATAAAATGGCCAATTTAAAAGCCAATATGAATCACAATGAGAATTGCATTTTGCATGGCCAAAAACCAAAAAAAAAAAGACCAAAAATCGAAACGCAGCGAAAAAATAGCAGCAGCAGCAGCGGCAACAACAATAACAACAGGGTTTCAATGACGAAAAAACAATGTTGCAAAAACTTGTTCTTGTTGCAAAAGCTCCGACGTCGACAGCGACGTCTTGCCTGTAATTGACGTTTGCCAAAAAGGAAAAGAAAGCAGCAGCCGCAGTCGCAGCCGCAGCAGCGGCAGAGACAACGACAGCGACAGCGACGTCGCAGCATTAGCTTAATGTTGTTGTTGTTGTAGTTGCTGCTGCTGCTTGTTTCTTTTTTTTCGGGAGAGTCAGTACAGTTAGCCGAAAAAGGACAAATCCCCATTGCGCCCATCTGTGTGTCTGTGCGTGCGTGTGTGTGTGCATGTGTGTGTGTGTAAGTGTGCTTTTAATGAAGTTGCGTCTGACAGCAACAGCAACAGAGCAGCAGAGACAACGTCTTTTCAGGGCAATGAGAATAGCAAGAAGAAGCAGTATAACAAAGGTGATTAGCACAGCATAGCTATGTATAGTGGTGTGGGGAGTGGAGTAGGTGGGTAGGGGGAGAGGCAGATAGGGAGCAAAAATAAGCCAAAGAGAAATTAAAATTGCTGCGAAGCAGCCAAAGAGAATGTTAATATTCCATGTAATTTGAGGTGAATTCTATTAAGAAATGACATGACAAATTCTTGCAATTGGAGCGAAAGAGAGAGAGAGAGAGCGAGAGAGATGGATGAAGGGAAAGAAGCTTGCGTCCCAAGCTTGCATTGAAAATGTAAATGCCACAAAAGGATTTGAAAAATAATGATTAATATTGAAATGAATAGTGAATTAATTTCAAAAATTCTATCGAATTGAATTGAATTTAACAAAATTTAAGCACTAAAACTTAACTAAACATTCAACATAAAAAGCGTTGCCAAGCAAATTACAAAATTTGCATATTGCGTTAATGGGAAACTAATCGTTGACTAACAGTCTTGCTCATAATTACTTTTTGTCTGCTGGGCATTTCGATCAGGCAGGTCTATTCAAAAACAGCTTCGAGTACTTTATTTTTGTTTTGTTTTGTTTCGTTTTGTTTCTTTTTTATTTCATTTTTTGGTCGAATCCACACGAAAGCTCTTCACACGATTCACTTGAAGTTTGCCCAATTTTAAGACCTTTGCTTGAATTCACTCCGCGACTCGGAGAATATCAACTAAAAAAAGTTTTCATCTTTTGCTTTTGCTTCTTCTTCTTTTTCTTCTTCAGCATCTGCTTTAAAACTTCTTTGGCTTCGATTCGCATGCGAAAAGCTCTTTTTTCTCCTTTTTTTCGCAAGTTTTTATATGTGTGTGTGTGTGTATGCTTGTAACAGGAGAGCCGCTTAAGCGATAGTTGAGCCTAAATTCACCAAACTCACACACGCACACACATGCACACATGTGCGACTGAAAAGGAAGCAAAGAGAAAGAGAAGCAGAGACAAAGGCAAAAATTAAAGCAACAATAAAATGCTAAAGGAAGTTGTTGTTTTCTCAAGAATTGTATTATATTATATATATATTATATAAAATGTATATAATATATAAATTCTGTTTCTGGAATTGTTTCTGCTTCTTTCGTGGTCAGCGCCAAAAATGGAGCGAGAGCAACCACAACAACAACAACAAAACTGAATGCAACAAGCGAAAAACAAAACAACAAAAAGAAAAAAAAAACTGGACTCTGGGCATCACACAAGAATACAGAAAGATGGAGAGAGCGCGAGAGAGAGAGAGAGAGAGAGAGTCGTGACTGCATTGCTGGAGTTTGAAGTTGGAGTTGGAGTTTGAGGTTTGGGGTTACGCGCTAAGCCAAACACACAACAACAACAACAGCAACAGCAGCAACAACGACAACAGTCCAAACTTGTTTTTGGCGATGATTAAGGCAACAACAACTTGTGTGGATGCCCAGGCTAAAAAGAAAAAAGGCAGCTGACAAAAACTGAAGCTGAACCTGAAGTCGTCTGTTGCTGTTGTTGTTGTTCTCGTCGTGCCTCTTAATGAGGCAACAGCACACATTTCTTTCTCAGCTTCTTCTTCTGCTTCAGCTCTTGTGCTTCCTCTTCTCCTTCCTTTGCCTTAACTTCTGCTGCATCTGCTGCTCCATCTTAGTACATATTGCTGCTGCTGCTGCTGCTGCTGCTGCTGCTGCTGTTGTTGTTGTTGTTGTTGTACAGTTGTCGTCATTTTTTTCGGTTCGCTTCCTGATCGATGAGTTCGAAAACAAATAAGGCAACTTCAAAGATACCAAAAACATATTATGAATTTAAGAAGCAAAGAATTTAAAGAAAAGGAAACTAAAAACTCCTGGAGGATATTCCTGGAATACAATAAACACAAGCATCAATTTAAGTAGCATGGTCAAAATCTGTGGCAAGCATAAATACAGAATACAGATTGAGATTGATAGTTCGATAATTATTTAGTTTGGCTCAAGCTCAACTCTCAGCTATATTTAAGCTAAAGTTTCATATATGTTGCAGATGCAAAAATAAATTATGAATAAACAAACAAGTTGTTTTTGCCAAACACTGCTTTGTTAAATCAACCGAACAATAAACATAAAATATTAATTTTGCACAGTTTCATTTGGTATCTGTGTGCTGCACTGCGTCCGCATCTTTCAGATACAAAATTGAGCGAGAGAATCACAGATAATTGACAACAAAATTCAGTTAATAAATCGAATTGGAATTTTTGTCTCGACAGACATTAACCGTTTGTTCACTTGTTCATTTGTTGTTCTTGTTTTCATTGTTGCTGTTTTTTAGCCAGACGTCAATTTCGTCTGCCTCTTCTTATTCACTTTTTTTCGGCTTGCCTAAATTAACGAATTTTTACTGCTTTTTTTTTGCCGTTCATTTTTTTCCCCATTTCAATTTCAGTTGCTGCTGCTGCTGCTGCTGTTGTTGTTGTTGTTGTTCTTGTTGGGCTTTTGATTCATCGCTACACATTTTTCGTACTTATTTTTATTATTTTTTTTGTTTCTGGTTCGTACTTTTATTGTTTATTGTTCTTCAGCGCCTACGCGCCAGTTACTCTCTTCTCACTCTCTCTCTCTCCCTTTCTCTGTCGGCATATTCTGTTTGCTTTGTGCTGCTGTCTCTGTCGCTCGCAGCGTCGCATTATGTTTTGTTTACTCCGTCGTTTACCTGGTTTTTCGTCGTACCACAGTTATCTCTACTAAAAGTAGCTAACTCTCTCTCTCTCTTTCTCTCTCTCTCCGCTTTTGAAGGTGATCAATCAAACTCCAACGCAAAGCACACAACTCAAACCGCATCGAACATGTCTGTTTGTTGTCATTTTTGTTTGATGATCGCTCTCAAACTTCTCTTTACTTCTTCTCAGACGCTCTTATTTAATTGTTTCTGCTTCTCTTTGATCATTGCAGCTCATAAATATTTAATATTGTGCATCCTTTGAGCGGATTTTATCCATCCATGGATGTCAGGCAATTGCCATACACAACAATTATTATAAGGTGAGTTTAAGTTTCAGTTTTTCTCCTATATATATTTTTTCTTTTATTACTTTAATTGCTCGGCTTTAAAAATCGAACCCTTAGTATATTCTTTCTTATATATTTATATATATATATATATATATATATTTTTTTTTTTTTTGTATTTATCCATCGACACCGAAAATGTGACTCCAAAAATTTGAGTGCCGCGTATTTGCTGAGGGCGTTAATTATTTATTACAACAACAAGTGTAACAAAAGAAACGTTGGAAAGAGAGAGTGAGAGAGAGAGCGAGAGGGAACGGGAGAGTGTGTGCGAGTGCGTGTGTGTGTGCGAGCAGGAGGCAAGCTGCGAACTGCAAACAGACGTAGAAAATGGCCCACATATGTTTTTTTTCTTCTTACTTCTTCTTCCTCTTAACATATCAAATAACGCGAAATATGTTGTCTACACCCCAGTGTGTGTGTGTGTGTGTGTGTGTCTATTGAACTTTACTTTTTGGGCACACAAGTCGGGCTCGAGCAGGAAAGTCGCATTCATTCAAAATGCACTCAAGTGTTACTATGTGTGTGTGTGTGCGAGTGTGTGTGCGCCTGTTACTCATATATCATTTGCTCATAAATTTAAACGTCATTTGACAAATATGGCGTCACACGAAATGTCTTCGAATGCGAGTGGAAAAGCAAAGCGGAATTCAAATGATTTATGCTCACATGCCACAAGCAACAAGAACATGCAACATTAACAAGAAGAAGAAGAAGAAGACGAAGACGAAGAAGAAGCAGCAGCAGCAGCAAGCAAGCAATGAGCATTATATTATTTTAATATAATAACAAACTTTTGGCACGACAACAACTAAACAACAACAACAACAAGAACGACGACGACGACGACGAAACTATCAACAAATTCCTGGACAAGGGGCTGTTGAGGGCGTGGGCGGGGGCTGTGAGCAGGACGTCGATTCAGTCAAAATTTTCCTTTAGCTCAACTGGCGTGTTTGGCTGTCATGATTACAGTGCTTAGAATTCAGAGCACAGACCACCCCCCACCCACTGTTCATTCCGTTAACAACACTGCCCGCCCCCTGCCACTGCCCCCACGCAGTGTAATAGAAACGAATCACAAATTGAACCGTAAATTTAGTTCATAAAAAGCATAAAGAGCTGAAAATTGATTTTCTATCTATTAATTTGAGGTAAGGCTGCGAGCAAAAGAGAAGATACAGATATATATGTATATATATATATAAATATATATATATATATATATAAATTAAAGAGATGGGAAAAACAAAAATAAAGATAAATTTCGAATATTCTAAATATATATTTATTTATTGTGTGTAAAAATTCGATAAAATTCGTTTCAGAATCATTTTTTCTTTGCTTTAAGTATTCTTAACAACTCTTTAAATGCTACAATTCCAAGTTTGAAATATAGTGGAGAATCTACAAAAAAATAAAAAATATATAAAAAAAAATTAATAAAAATAAAACCCTTCTGATAAAGCTAAAAAGTTCGCATCCATAAAAGAAACTGAGTAAACAGCGATTTTAAGCTGCATTCATTGTTCGTGGATTAAATAAAATGAATGAAAATGTAAAATGAGAAATGAGAGATGAGAAATGAAAAACACAACTTTATTTTTACAGCTATTTTGCGTATAGAGCCAAATGAGCCAAAAACTAGTGAAAAAAACTCACAAAATTCAGATAAAAGTCAAACGGCTGACTTTGATCATTTTTGCCATGGCAGCTAAAGGCGAACTTCAGCTCCAACTTTATCTGCTTCGTCTTCTTCTTCGTCTTTGTCTTCTTCTTCGGCTTCGTCTTCTTCTTTGTCTTGAGCAGCACTTGTTGCACGAAAACTGTTAAAAGAACAGAAACAAAAAGATGAGAAAAAAGGCGTCTGAGTCCGGCAAATGCCGTTGGTCATAAATCAAGTGCCAAAAACTGCAGACTGGAGACAAGTCTTTGGTGGGAAGGGAGAGGGGGAGGGGGAGGGGGGGGTAGCGGTAAGGAGTGTGTGGAGTGGGAGAGTTCAAGTACAGCAAGAGAGATGCAGATACCGTTAAGTGGCAGTAAAGTGAGCGCCGGCAACGAACTTGAAAAAAGAGCATTTGCCCCCAGGCAACAGCCGATATATACTTATATATATATATATATATATATTTTTTTTTTGTTATATATGTGTAGCATTCGTATATGCAGCTACACACACACACACACACATGCAGCGCCCTGTTTTTTTCATGCCCTTGCAGAAGAGGGTATTGAAATGCTGTGACAAACTTCGTTTCTGATCAGAATATCTTTAAATTTATCCAAAATTTCTGTTTGGAGTTATTTCGAAATGCTTCACGCAATTTGTATACTTTTTATACTTTAAAATTATTGAATTCTAGAAGAGAATAACCAAATTCCGCCTGCACCAATTTTATTTGGCATATTTAATAAGTAAGCACGGAATTAAAACAGCAATTGATTTTTGTGCGGCACTATGTACACGTATATATATATATATATATATATATATATATAAATAAATAAATTTATTGGCTTTGTGCGCTAACAATGTCTAGAATAAAGTTCAGTTGGACTTATTGCATATAATTAATGTATGTTCTGGAAAATTGTTCAGCTGACTTGAATTTCCATTCCAATCAATTCAATTATTTTCCGTTTTCTTGCAGACCTTTTTTTGTTTATGGGTGGTTGGTGAGTTGGGGGGGGGGGGGGGTTTCTGCGCCGTCAATTATGAATGCATTTCATGAAAAAAGAAAGAATAAACATTTTCAAAGGAAACATATCTGAATTTATTTGAATGTTGCGCTTGTTAAATGAATTCGCTTTGAATTTGAGTTTGGAATTTGATAATCTTATCGGCTCGTCCTTGGCTCCATTTGAAGTCGAAGCAATAAATGCCACAAGAACACAAGAACTGAGCGGCCTGCCCCTGCCCCACTTGAGATTGAGATTGGTGTACGATTCGAGTGGCAGATAGTATGTCTGATGATTATCTTGCCGCTGACAGTAACTTTGCACTTGCCACAAATCAACGGGAGTGCTTTACACAACAGCTGGGCATATCATTTATATGTATATATATATATATATATATATATATATATATATCGATATTCTTAGTTAAAAATGGCAACATTTTGAACCAACTTATCAGCTTAACCGGAACGTTTAAATAGTAGCGAAACTGGAACTGGAAAAATGAGATTTTGTTGGTCAATTTGGGAATAGAAACCTCTCTGAACTTTATTTGAGAATAGTATTTATCGATAACGATGACAGTTCTTAAACTAAAAATGATCGAGCGTTTTTAATTAAGCATTCCAATGTTTGTTTAAGTTTTAGTTAATTTTCAAAAATAGAGATTTTACAAGTTGGTTGGATGCATCGATGATTTTGTTTAACTACAGAGCTTACAGGGCATCTGCTAGTCGTGCTTGCATTCTCTCACTCAACTACGTTATTATTATTATTTTATTTAAAATTTCTTTTTTTGCCCCACGTTCTTGCCCTCTCGCCAGGCACAAGACAAAGCCATTGCCGTTGGCGTCATCATCAGCGGTTTACCAACTCCAATAACTCACTCTCTCTGTCTCTGTCTCTCTACCTCTCTCCCTCTGCCTGTCTCTGTCGCCCGTCGCAGCGCACTTTGTAGTTGCAAGTTGCAAGTCGTGCAACACGACGCGCTTCAATTTTAAACGCATAAAAAGCGAGACAAAGTAAAAAAGAATGAAATAAAGAAAAAAAAAAGAAAAATGCTGAGATAGCAACAATCTTTACGCTTTGCCGCCTGTTGCCCCTATGCTGTCCCCTCCCCCACCCCCTCTCCACACACAACCACTCAGCGCTCTTCGCGGCCCTTATCAGTGAGTGTGTGGCTGGCTTAGGGGGTAGGGGTGTGGATGGGGGGGAGTGTGAGTATCTTAATGTATGAGGGCGCGGGCCGTTTGGTTGCAATGGAAATGGGAATGATACGATGAGGAGGGGCAGACGATGGCGAATTGGCGTACGCTAGGTGGGTGGTTGGCAGCGGGTTGGGGGAGGGGTGTGGGGTGTGGGGTGTCGGGTGCGAGTCTTAACTCTTGAGGGTCGTCGGCATCTTCTTTTCAATTTGCTCTTCACTTAGCTGCCGCATAATTTTCTGCTTCTACCAATTTTTTTTCTTTTTTTTTCTGTTCTTATTTTTTTTTTGTCGAGTTCTTGAGAAAAAACTCGCGACGTTGTCGCCGATAACACAAAATCAATAAGTAATAAGATAGCGGTAACCCCAAAAAGCAAACATGCTCAGAAGTGTGTGTGTGTGTGTGTGTGTGTGTGTGATTGGTGTGTGTTTGTTGTGCTTGTCTTCTGATAAGCACTGCTCCAGCAACAGGAACAACAACAAAAAGCTTCGCAACAAGCACAAAGCGAATGCAAGTTGACTTCTCCAAATGACAATCGCTATGAAAAGGTTCTGTGGCAACACTTCCAATCACAGAGTTGTTGTTGTTGTTGTTGTCAATGGTGTTGCTGTCGCTGATAATAATGATATCGATGATGGAGATGATAATGATGATGACGACACAACTCAGCCAGTCGTGCAATAATTGCATAGCTGCACAGTGGCAGGCAACACTTTTTTTCTTTGTTTTAAGTGCAACATCTAAAAAAATTAATAAAAATTCAGATTACTTTGAGGTACTATAAAAAGCAGACAAATTTCAGTTTTTAACAATTTTCGTTACTTTTCAATCGAAGTCAAAATATGTGTAAAGATATAGATGGAGAAACCAGTTTGCCGAAAATCTTTCTACTTGCTTTTTGACTCAACTTCATTGTGAAAATATGCAATTTGACTTTAATAGAAATAAACCCAAAATTCAAAGTAAAATGTTTGATTTTTTGGCAAAAAGTTGTTATCAATTTTGTAGTGCTTAAGACTAATAACGGTTCAGTTTCGATTGAGTAGTGGCAAGTTTGGATACGTCTTAAGATGCGATTGTTTTCTTGTT